GAATTAGATTCGGGTCAATTTTACCAGATTTCAGATCTACAACGCCGGTGACAATTGCATTACCCATATCATCGAAAGAGATCGGTCTGACTTCCAATTTATTCGTCTTTAGGTCTTTCGTTGTCATTATCGACGACCTCAAATTTATTTTACCAAATTTACTGTTGATTTCCTCAGTTACGTTATTCTTCAGTGCCATTACAGTTTCTACCTGAGCGGTATTAAGATCGTACGATTTTTTAGAAGTATCCATTTTACAAGTAATAACAGTTATTTCGACGATTGAATCGATGGGACCTCCAATAGTAATAATTTTTTCTAAAGAATCATCGCCTTTGACACTATTGGGATCAACAAGACTATTTTTAATTATAACCTGTCCGTTGTTCTCGTTTATTAATACAGGTTTTGCTTCAACTTTGCCTGATTTTGGATCATTTATGAGCAACTTTTTACTTTTAATATCTATCAGCCCATACTTTGATTGTATTAAACCAGTAGAGGTGTCCAATGAAGCAGTTGATTGTTCGACTTGACTTTTTTCCACGTCTAACTTTCCGGTCTTAGGTTCAGTTTTAGTTGTAACTGCGGTAATTTTAATGATCCGCTTTTTAGGTATCAAAACTTTCGACCCAGATACATCCTGGGCATGTTTAAGCCCGGCAATTGAAAAAATGTATCCCAAACTGGGATTTATTTTGCCTGTTTTGGGATCGACGACTTTATCACAAGATATTGTTAATTGATTTGTTAAAGAATCTATTTTTCCTTGTAACACTTGCAACTGACCTGTTGAAGGATCTATTGTCGTAAGGGACGCTTTTTTTAAATCAATCACGCCATATTTAGTATCGATTAAATTAGTTTGAGAGTCATAAGTACCTGATATATGATCGACCGTTCCACTTTCTATATCTACGACTCCCGTGTTCAGGTCTCTCTTTGATATAATGACCATTATTTTTACAGATGGATTATTAGAAGTACTTATTAGATCGGTTTTGGATAAATTCGACGGGGACGATATGTGCTGTTTTAATGCCAGTTTTTTTTCTGCATTATGTTGATTTTCCAATATTTCAGCTTTAATTAAATCCATTGAGACATCAGATATTTTTTGTAAGATCGGCAATTCCGGAAGCTTTTGGATATCTTCTGTTTTAATTACGTGCTTTATTTCCGGTGGCTTTGAAATGGGCTTTTCTACTGGTTCCATTTCACTACTATCGCTATCGCCGTCATGTACGTCAGGTTCTGTAATTTCAACTGCAATCGATCTCCCCAAGTGTGGGTCGATTTTGCCAGTTTTAGGGTTGATACACCCACCTTTAAAGACAAGAGCTCCCGAATGAGAATCTACAAAGCCATGTTTAACTTCCAACTTTTTCGTTTTCAGATCCATTACCGACAAACTTTCGGCAATAGGATCCAAAATACCGTACTTTGTGAATATTTTACTTCTTTCCGGATCATAAAGTGCAACAGTAGTTTCTAAATTTGAACTTGCCGATTCAATGGTGTTTTTCTTAGAATCTACCTTCCCCAAAATGGATGAGATTTGTACTTCTGAATCGAGTTCCTGTTCGTCTATTTTGATGATTCGAAGCAGATTTGGGTTGGATCTGTCAAAAACGGTAACATTCCCATTATAGTCTTTATCTATTTCGATTGGATTCTTAAGATATGTATTAGTTGTGGGATCTTTGGTAGAAATGGTTTTGTTAGCAAAATCAATCGTTCCATGTTTGGTGATAAGTACACCACGTCCAAGTTCAACTTTGCCGTAACTTACCTCCGTATGGACTCTTTGACCATCAAAAGTGTCAGTTTGCGGATTTTTATTTGTCGTTGACGTCGTTACCGTAAGTATAGGATCCTTGCTACCAATTACTTTTATAATTTGAGCTAAATTTTTATCTACCTTTCCTGTTTTTGAATCCGTGTAAGTTTTTCGAATAATTTCTCCCGTTTTCTCATCAAATTCGATTGGGTATTTAACAAACTTATTTGATCCAGACGTCACAGTTAAGAATTCTTTTTTTTTTACATCGATCTGACCGTACTTAGTTTCGATAATGTCATTTAAAGGATCAAAAATTGCAATCAGTGTTTCTAAAGTACTCTTAGATCTATCAAGTTTATCTGTTTTAGGATCTTTCTTAACAGTAATTACTGACAGTTTAATAATTCTCTTTTTGGGAACAACATGCGGTGCCATTGGACCTAGCAGTACACTTTTTTCTTGCCTATTCTCCTTTTCATCTACGACAGTTACAATTCCGCCCATATCGTTGGATTTATTACCGATTTTTGGATTTAACAAACGGCCTACTGGAATATGAATTTGATCGGTTTGTGGAATACGAGAAGCATTCACGGTTTCTCTCTGACCACTAACTGGATCGATTACAGTGGCCGATTGTTTGTCGAAATTAAATATGCCATATTTCGTTTCAATATTACCGTTAGGGTGCAGTATACCATCGCATTTAACAGCTGTTTCGTTTTCATGACCGTATTTAGGATCTTTGATGTATGTAACAATAAGTACTTTTACCTTTTTCAATACCGATTTTGTCGCTTTATTCTGAAATTGATAATGAGGTAGTAATTGTTGCTGCAAAGTTCGAATAGAGGAATCAGCAATTGGTTGTTTTAAATCGGTTTTCAAAATTCTACCGAAATTAGAATCGATTCTACCCGACTTCGGATTTATAAGTTCTTTGAACAGAATTTCGTCCGTGTTTGGAATGTGTTGACCATGTCTATTTTCTGATTTAAGCGACTTGGGCTCAATAAATGTCAATGTTTCGGAAAGTGGATCGTATATACCGTACTTGGTGTATATCTTACAGTTTTGAGGATCAAACACTCCCGCAGATGCATCAGTTGTAGCGTTTTTAGGGTCGAGTTTTTTCTTACTGTCAACCTTTCCAGATACTGATAAAATTTTTATTTCTGACTCTATTTCCGGACCTATCAGAATGGCTTGGCTTAAGTTGTTATCATTGATGCCAGTATGAGGATGTCTAGCACCTGAATCGATTGATACTAAATTACGGGCTCCGTCAAATCTAATAGGAACGGAAATCGTCTTAATTGTTTTAGGATCCTGATATACTAATTCCTTATTTATTATATCTATAAGTCCATATTTGGTTAAAATATTTCCATTTTGGGAATATACCAAAGCGTTTGAAATCTCCTTGAATTCATCTCTTTGGCCACTACTATTTCGAGGTGACGTTACAGATGTTATTTGCACTATGGGATCCCTGCTGTCTAGTAATGTAATAATCTGGTTTAAATTTGGATCCACTTTACCAATTTTTGGGTCACAAACGCCGCTCTTGATAATAACTTCCGCCGTGTCAGCATCAATGGTCACAGGTTCGAATAATGTCTTGTTGGTTTTTGGCTCTTTACGAATAAATTTTGAACTTTCAACATCGATTGTTCCATATTTTGTATCGATCCGTCTTGAAATTGGGTCAGAAACAGCATCGCATATTTCTGTGTATTCCGATATTTCATCGCCTTTTTTAGCCTTTGGATCTTTCTTACTGGTAACTACTTTTATTTTGATAAGTCTCTTGTTAGTTAAAATCGGTAGTAACCCTGGCAGAGCTGTTTTGTTGTCTTCAATTATTGAAATAATTTGACCTTTGTTTGCGTCCGGTTTTTCAGTTTCGGGGTTCAAAACTGCACCGGAATTAATAATGATTTGTTTAAAGGGATTAACATGCCCTTGAAGTACTTCCTTTTGATTATTTGAGAGATCGATGATTATAACAGATCCACTATACGGATCTATCATGCCGTATTTCGAATCTATTAAACCAGTTTCTGCGTTTTGATTTGCACAAGTAATATCGACAAAGCCATTTTCCACGTCTAGCTTTCCAGTTTTTGGATCTTTATCGGCTGTGACAACAAACAACTTGACAGTTCTGGTTTTGTTGTTTGCAGGCGCTGTAATTGTTGGTGTTATTATATGTGATTGTGGAATGACAACAGGTTCCTTAATATAACGTTCATTTTCCAGAAAAGATGATGCAATGTCTTTATCAGTTCCGGATTTCATCTGCGGATAAGGTCTGGGCTCGTTTTGGCAATTTTCAAGGATCCCGTTGTTGTTTAACCCTTGATAATTGTCCCTCGTGTAACCTGGCAATTGTGGAGAACCTATGGGAGGACCACCTTTCAATTTACTTTCGTTCGTTTCCACTTTCTTATCGGGTTTATCTTTTGAACGAATAGACAAAAACCCAGGACTCTGAAGACAAAAAACAAATCATGCACTAATTCATGCACTACGTCTAGACATTTTCTTATCTAATAACGCTATATCTAGAATACGGTACACTTCTTTATACATAAAACAGGTAAACCAAGCCAAATTGTTTTCGGAAATACATTTATGTATATGTATGTATAAATTCAAGTATGCACATGTAAAAATTTACAAAAACGAAATATAAATGAACAGCTTACTCACATTACCAATTATATGGTATTACCTTTCTGTAAGGCATTGAATTTTACAAGTATTCTTATTTCCTTGGGCTAATTTTTACATACAAAAATAACTAGGTCACTAACCAACTTGTTTATAACATACCCAACTCACCTTTAACTGTTCATTTTTGTTCTTTTCATTTTCATTCTCCTTTTCAAACTCGTTAGGAAACCGATTAGGAAGGGACACTTCTTCATTTTTATAATTTTCTTTACCCTTTTTGCTCAGGGTACCACTAACAGGAAGCACAGAAACACCTCCAACAGGCTTCTAATAATCAACAACACTTTTTAGAAATATTACTGACAATTATTTTAAATTACAAAACAAAAATAAATGACAGTCTAAATACTAAATACAAGTAAATGCGGTATACATTTCTTCTTGCTTTTAATAAAAACTATAAATTTACCTTATTTTTGTCCTTCTCCTCTTTTTCTTTATTTGCTTTCGGGGGTCTCGATTTCAGAGCATATTCGTCCTTTTCTGGAGTATACATATGTTCAATTGGATGAGGCATAGTGTGCCGTTTATTGATTTCATTGTATTCATCCTCCAATTGATTGCTTCCCAAAGCTACAAAAAAACTTTTAACGAAAGTATTCAATTTTAAAGTGGAATTAAAACTGACGATCCATGCTGCGGGAAGTTAGTCTTCGTCCAGATAGCGACCTTTCGAAATGAGGGGCAGGTCTTTCAATTGGCATTTTTTTCGTTTCGTAATGTGTGCGACCAGAATAACGGAATTTAGAACCAAGACGAGGAAATAATGAAGATTTTTGATTAGATTCAGGTGTTACCAATCTAATTAAATAAAACGGGGAAAATGGAAATTCATTCACATAATATGTAATTATAATTTTGTAGATTACCTGAAGAATGTGTGATGTTCGACACAAGTTTTCCACAACTTTTTTGCAGCCCTATGATTAGCCAACTTGAAACCAATCGTCGACTCGAATTGTTCAAATTCACCGGGACGAATTTTTATGTAGAAGTTGTGCCTCTTGTAGCTGATTTTTAAAATTTTAGGCCAAGCAAATCTATTGATCCTCAAACGATCTCTGTAAACCAATAGACCAGAAGCACACACACCTAATATTGATAAAATGCAATTATTACTTTGCTCATTAAAAAATAATGTTATAAAATCTGTTATACAAAGTGAATTTTAGAGTTCTGGGTCGTATGCTGCGTGATACTAGCCGAACTTTTCATGTAAAAAAAATATAAACCTGATGTATTGTTGTGTTCTTTTCTTTTTTAATATGTGCAATGAATGATGTGAATTTATACTTTTGTAGTATTGATGTGTATGCTATTTCTATTACTTTATTTAAAGAACTAATGCATGAGAGTTTTTTGTTTATTCATGGACTGTGACTCTCCTCACATCCACACCTTTCTACCTTATATAATGGGAGTTCTTCCCATCTATTATCAAATAAATAAATAAAAATAATAAATATATATACATAATGAATATTAACGTTTAATTTACCGAGGTTGATGTCGACTCCTTCGGAATCTTTCGCAGGGTGAAGATCGACCCCGTACATTGCAAGTTTCTTTGCGTTTTCGAGATAATGAAGTTCTGCTTCTGCTGGTGATTGGCCCCTAAGTTACATACAATATTGTTAAAATGTTTATTTGAAATCAAAATAAATATGTATAATATAAAATATTACGTAAATTCTACGTACAATATTGAAGTATAAGGTTAAAATGCTTTGAAACAATATTCTGCCAGTGTAAATGTTAAAAAACTAAATGATCAGTTACTTATGAGTTTTATGTAGTTCCATAACTTTCTGTTCCAGTTCCGGGGTTTGATTGGGAGCGAATTTGAAATCTTTGAGATAATTGGACTTCATACTGTCAGGGTCGTAATCTCCTAATTCTGATTGCACCAAGTACGATCCTAACAATGCGTACGTAACAAAAGAGCATGGTAATCGATTACTGAGAATGTCATTACGTATTTGTAAACACAGCTGGTAACGCGTTATGTCCTCTTGAAGTTGAGCTGGATCCGGAGGGTAAAATTTTACTTGAAAATTGAACTTCCAAGGTTCCGCTGTGTTTCAAACATATTATAATTAGACGCTGTTTAAACTAACAATTAAGGGCACATAAAATAATAAATATGTATATTAGAGCTGGGCAAACTGTAAGTACTTTATGCTTCAGAGTTCAAAAGCACTGTAATTTCGAGAAAGTAGTTGGGATTTGATAAAATTTGCTTACTATATTTTCCAAGGTCTTGGATTTTAAAATGTAATTTGGGCTGTAAGGTCCTGGGACACTTTTCCTGAGGGCTCTGCCTAGCTTGGATATACATATAGATGTTCGTATTCTAACCCACCTTTAATAAATTTTACAATCCGTTTATCCAAATCTAACCAGCACCTTGGATCTTGTCTGTCAGCGAAAGTAAGGCCGAAGTAATCCTTTTCTACTAAGTTTACCGCCTTACAAACTTTGTCTAAAAGATCTTGACCTTTTACTTTTCTCTACAAGATAAATTACAAGATATATGACTTTTTTAAATAAAACAAAAACAGCACGTTTTTTTAATCAATTACCTCTATATAAATGTCCAAAACGGTACCGTCCAACATGGTAACGTGAGTCAAAACGGTCCGATTTATGGTCAATGTTTTTGTTTTGGCTGGAGATGTATTAATTGTATCAGAATCGACTGCCATATTTTTTTGCTCTGGCATGTCCGTCTTACACTTAATGCTATAAAAAAATATGTATGAAAAATTGTTTCGTTACAATATACTAATACAGATGGACACACACACACAAGGTGAGACACCTAATATATATAAAATAGAATTTTATCATCAGGTTAAACAACAGTACAATACAGAAGTAAAATGGACATTGTATGTTACTAATTTAAAATTTCATCAAAAAATATTCAAGTATGTACTTATAACAGGGACAACTCTACAATATTTTCTGTCAATTTGGTTTACCAGGGATATGTTAATATGCCTATCTAATATATTAAATAAATGTTTAGACCTTTGATGCAAACTGTACTGCTTATTCTACGTCGACACGTTTTCTTTAGTTAAATTAAATATAATAATTATGAGTGTTGTTTTAAATTTGATGTTCATCAACAATATATTTATGTCACGAATACGCAAATACACAGCATCACATGTACACATACATGCAAATTCGTTTGGAAAGTTATTCCACATACATCACAACAAAATTACTTATGTTAGGATAATTCAATACTAAAGCATTTTTCAATAAAATTATTTACAAATATTATCGTTTTTAACAGCACCGAAGTAGATAAAACATTCGGGCATTTAGTACGAAAATTCGGAATTTTTATACGTTATATCAGACTATTTTATTATTATCGTAATATTTAATTAAAAAAATATTTTATTTGTTATAGCATATAATTACAATTAACTAGTATATTTATTATAAGCTGCCCTGTTTGTATAAGCTCTCTACCACTCTAAGTGTACCTATCTAATTGTTTCTCATCATTACACTGTACACAAATAAAATTTTAATCAGTAATCTTACCTTATCAGTTGATTATAAAACAAAATGGTAAATAATTTTGTGTTCTACGGCATACAAACTCACTCAGTACGAACTGGGATGGGCCACAAACACTTTACTATGAGTTAAGCAGCTAGGCAGTGTTGGTATTTACTATTTATTAGTACATGTATTTGCCACTGCCACACCATAACAATGGATCCTACCAAACGTTCTACGACCCTATTTATTTTGTAAAAGGCGATAATCTGTCTGAGTAAAACACCACTTAATGTTTTACTTTTGCAAAATTCCAAGCAGAAAAGCAATAATAAGAAAATTCATATAATTCTTAGTAAATTTTCTTAACAATTGTGTAGAACTGTATTTTTATTTACGTTTGGCGTAGGAATCGGTTGAAATGAATAAAAAAATCATCAATCTTAGAGTGGGAAATCAAACGAAAAAATATTCAAGGTATTACGTCACTGATGAATATAATCCGTATAATAGTTGACATTCATTCTGCTTGAGGCACCGTCAGCCTTACAAAAATAACTTTTAAGTAGATGATGTTTGCATTATATACATATATTTTCCTTTTATTCGGTATAATAATATACGTAGAAGTTTCTGTTAAAGAGAAGCAATGACGTAACAGATAATTAATTTACGATTACATTGAAAAATTTTGTTAATATTTTTGTTTATTATTTTACAGCGTTACAAGTTTTATCAAATGCTTAATCAGGGCAACTTAAACATATATAAGGTCTTTTTACAGCAGGGACAGATACGGAAGTGTAAATTATAAACAGACAATCATAAATATTTATTGCAAATATGTGACTGCAGCTTTTATCTAAAATATGGATAATCTAAAATATGCCTAAAATGAGTACAGCACTATACAAGTAGTTATTCTCATGCCATCGTGAGTCCAACCCGTACATTAAAGAAATATATATTTACGACCATAGACATATATTAATGGACGTGCCTTAGCCGTATGTCGTTGTAATAATTTTTTGGCTCGAAAAGTGAGGGAGAGGCGTACGGTTTCGGACTAGTGCTATCTCTTTCATGACACACTTACGCAGAGAGAGATGGATATTATCCGAAACTTCGTTCCATCTCTTTCTTTTGTTGTATCACGATTCTGACCACTAAGGCCATAGATAATAGATCTACAAAGGGTAAGGGTAATCTACTAAGGCATGTCCATTAGTAAACGTCGATGCTTACGACAGTATATATATATCTGATCTATAGTTCAATCAATATCTCTAATCTATGGTTCAATCAATTTTTATAATCTGTGGTCCAACCAATAGAAAGAGGGTGTGTTCCGAAATATAACCCAGCATACTGGTCAGTGCTGACGACGTCATGAATCGACGCCATATTGTACTGGTGTACCACCATATTGTACTGGTGAAACAAGTGTGTCGTAACAGTATATCAAACGGGCGTGTGTGCTTCAGAGTTTGGACAATTGTTTATTGTAATAAACGTTAATAACTTTTGGAGCAAAATTGTTGTAAACGAGCACAAACACTATTCTCAATATGGCGTCAATTAGACGTCATCAGCACTGGGTATACCGGGTTATATTTCGGAACACACCCAGAATAAGAATAATAGCGGCAAGTTCCTGACAGTTTATCTATTACTCAGACTATAACTATAAGTAATCTCTGCTTATTTTAAAATGTATTTGTATTTTTTGATATAAGTAGATTCATAGCGCCCTACCCAAGACCTATCCTTTACGGAATCGTGTAAAACTGGCATCCGATATAAATAATCCACCGATTCAAACTTTACCAATAAATTGTGCGTTGTTTGCGGGCTCTAAATATATACATACTGTAATTTTGTGTCCATAAGTTCTGTTAAAAAAAAGAATAATTGATTCGGGGCAGGTGGAAATAATTACAAATAACACTAAATTTTTCAATTGTATTACGATCATCGACGTTTATAATGGACATGCCTTGTGGTACAACATAAGAAAGAGATGGAATGAAGTTTCGGACAATATCCATCTCTCTCACGATAGTGCGTAAGCGTGTCACGAAAGAGATAGCACTAGTCCGAAACCGTACGCTATCTCACTCACTTTTCGAACCAAGAAATTATTACAACGACATACGGCTAAGGCACGTCCATTAATATATGTCTATGGTTGAAACTATGGTCGACTATGATTGAAACATAGGTTAATGTTGAAATATGTCAGCAGGGACCTAAAGCAAAGGTCATCAGAGATTTCGATTACTTTAATATCGCAATTCAAAAATATTTTTATATTCATAATAATCATATATTTTACAATTTAAGATGAACAATTTAAATGGTGAAAATACAGAAAAAAAACATAAAGTTAAATGTGCAGGTAAAATTCAAGTTTTGGTTAAAACACATGATCTTTACATGAAACACTAATTCTAATTTTATTGTTTTTTTTGCCATATTTTATAAAAATCGAAATATGGTTATTGTTTTTATGTCATTAATATAACAGTTTCATTAATTTTGCATGTGAAATAATTTGTATTACAAGATTATATGTATTATTTTCTGTTTCAGGTGGTAAAGTTGACAAAAAGAAAAAGTTAAAATCGGAAACTGCAGAAATTAAAGAAAAAAATCCTAAAGCATTTACTTTTAAATCTGCTGTTAAAGCAGAACAAAGATTTAGACGTAAACAGGACATTGAAACCAAGAAGCAACATGTACCAGTTGTTGATCGAACTCCTATTGAGCCACCACCACTTTTGGTAGCAGTAGTAGGGCCTCCTAAAGTAGGAAAAACTACACTAATAGTTAATCTAGTAAAACTTTTCTCAAAAACCCCATTATCAGATATAAAAGGTCCTGTCACTTTGGTAATGGGGAAAAAACAAAGAATTACATTGATGGAATGTAAAAATGATATCAATTCAATGATAGATTTAGCTAAAGTGGCTGATTTAGTATTGGTTTTATGTGATGCAAGTTTTGGCTTTGAAATGGAATTTTTTGAATTTTTAAATATTTGTCAGGTCCATGGTATGCCAAAAATCATAGGCATTTTAACACATTTGGATATGATAAAAAACTATCAAGCATTAAAGAATACAAAAAGGATGCTTAAACACAGATTTTGGACAGAGGTTTATCCAGGTGCAAAGTTATTCTATCTGTCGGGTATAGTTCACGGTGAATACCTGAAAAATGAAATAAAAAATCTTGGTAGATTTATTTCAATAACGAAGTTGCGATCTTTGAGTTGGCGTTCGACGCATAGTTATCTGTTGGTGGATAGATTAGAGGATATTACCAGTCAGGAATTGGTGAGAAGAGATCTACAATGTAATAGAAACATTTTATTGTATGGTTATTTAAGAGGCGTTCCGCTAACCAAACAAAATTATATTCATATAGCAGGTATGACCATACCAGTGCATACAATGTAGAATTTTATTTATTTATTTTATTTTATTTAATTCGTACGTTATAGCTCAATACAATCTCATTTAAAAAAAAACCTATTTTTAAAACAACAGTAATTAATTTAATATATTCATATTTTTATTCCTTAAGATTTTTTTAATAATACATTTATACATTGAGCTAATGTTTAATATTTTTTCTTAGGAGTTGGTGATCAAAAAATTCATTCTGTTGCAAGTTTAAATGATCCCTGTCCTTTACCAGAAAGAAAAAAGCGAGCTTTAATTGAGAAGGAAAAACTTCTTTATGCTCCCTTTTCGGGCTTGGGTGGAATCGTTTATGACCAGGATGCAGTTTATGTTGAACTCGCAGGTTCCCACAGTTATTCACAACAAAATAATAGCGAGTCGTATGCAGTTTCTGCGAATCTTCTGGATACAAAAGAAACACTCGATATAAAGATGAAACAGTCAAAAATTAAAATATTTTCGCACGCTGAAAATGTCGGAGCAGATGACATTTTAACGGAAAATTCTAAAATTGAAAATTCCAAAGAAGTAAATTTTATGGAAAATGTGAAGGGAAATATTACGGATAAGATGAAAAACATTGGAAATAAAAGGGACAATACCGTCAGTTTAGAGATAAAATTCGACAAAAATTTTATACAGAAAACAATACCATCTTTGCATTTTAAACGAAATTTAATGAAATTTATTTATGGTAAAATTAAACATTTTTATTTTTTAGTTTTGTAATATTAAGAATGTTGAATATATCTATTTATACTTAGATCATGCACTTAATGATATTGGAGAAAAAGATGTAATAAAGACAGATATTAACAATGACAATAATGTTGGAAATTTGTTCATGCTGAATTCAAATGAAAATCAAAACCACAAACTGAAACATTTAACAACAGATTTGTTAGATTCATCTCTTCCATCATTGCAGAATTTAAAAACAAATGATTGGGTGAATCTGGTAAGAAAATATTTAAATATAAATATAAATATCTGTTAACGTATAAGATTTATCCTTTTTTTCGTTGTTATATTTTAAGAATCAAAATGGAATAAAAAATTGCTTTGTAACTGGCAAATGGCGTAATAACGAGAATGCCGAAGAACTATTAAAGTTAGATGATTTACCAGACTTTGACTCAGATGAAGATTATGACTATAGCACAGATGCAGAAACAATGAGGAGAAAGAAACTTCAACTGAAACAGAAGTTTGATACTGCATATGATAACTTCTATAAAGATGATTTTTACGACGAATTAAAAACTCGCATTGAAAAACAGTCCGAGTTGAATAAACAATTGTTGAGTAACATGAACGAAGACGTTCGGGTAGAAGTTGAAGGTTGTAGACCTGGAATGTATGTAAAATTGGAGTTACATGATATGCCAGCAGAATTTATTAATAATTTTGAACCGTCCTATCCAATCGTAATTGGTGCATTAAATATGGGAGAAGAAAATATCGGCTATGTAAATGTAAAGTTGAAAAAACATCGGTGGTACAATAAAATACTTAAAACAAAAGACCCCCTTATAGTTTCCATGGGATGGAGACGATTTCAAACTTTACCTTTGTATTTTAAACTAGAGGATGATTTAAAATGCAGATTTTTGAAATATACCCCTCAGCATGTTTCTTGTTGTGCCCAGTTTTGGGGCCCAGTGACTCCTCAGAACACTGGATTCTTAGCAATTCAAAATGTACAAAATTGTCCGGAGGTAAAATTTTGAAGTTAATTTTTTTAGTGAATTAAACATTTCGTATAAATTGATGGTTATAATAATTTTATAAAATTACGTTTACAAGCAAAATAAACGGTAAAATAAGGCTGCAATATTTCAAATTTCAATTTTTTTAGGTTTTAAAAGACCAAGGCTTCAGAATTGTTGCTACTGGAACAGTGTCGGAATTAGATCAGTCAACCAAAGTTTTAAAGAAATTAAAATTGGTAGGAAATCCTATTAAGATTTACAAAAAAACCGCTTTTATATCAGGTATGTAAAATACTTTCACCTTAATATCCCACATATTCTCTTGTTGTATTAAATTTATTAATTGCTATGGATACTTGTTTTGTTTTAAACTTGGACTGTAATTATTTGTAGGTATGTTTAACAGCTCATTGGAAGTTGCGAAGTTCGAAGGTGCGAAAATAAAAACGGTATCAGGAATAAGGGGCCAGGTTAAAAAGGCCGTCAGAGATAACGGAACGTTTCGGGCTACTTTTGAAGATAAAATCCAATTGAGCGGTACGTTTTTCTTTCTATTCTCGCAAGTGAAACAGAAAAAGATGCGTGGTGGACAAATCTATTACCAGAACATAGACTTTACTGCCGGAATCCATGGTGAAACTATGATTTGGGCTGAAGAGTTGTGAGCTAAATTGTTAGGTCTAAACTTTCAGCCCGAGTCATAATTCTACTGTAAATACCTACTATCATCTATCATTTTGGGTTCAATATTCAACCAAAAGAAATGATAGCGGCAAGTGTCTGTTAGTTCAGTGATCCAGGCTCAGTTTTATTTAGAAGTGCAAATGCAAACTGTTCATTTTAAAATGAATTATGATTGATTTTTCGGTAAGGCCAAATCCTATTATCCAGGACCCAAAATGGCGGACGATAATAAATACTTACAAATTTAGTGCCTTGGTAATAGTGAAACTTGCTTAGCGAAACTGTTTTTCATGTACACCGCATTATTTAGTGTACTTTTTGACACACATGCATGTAACGCCTACTGTAACGCGCTCATAGCCCTCGTCCATGTTGATATATTTTGTTTCTTTCCCAGATAGCTTTCTTTCTCATTTTCATTTGGCACATAGGTGCTGTGCTGAAATACCAAAAGGAATGAGATATTTATGTATTTTAACGACCTAATTATTAACATTTACATTCATTTAATAGCTGAAGTGTCTGAGAAACCTATCGTTACAAATATTGAAGAATTATTACACTTAACTTAAAAAAGATAAAAAAAAACACGTGTAATTACAATATATATTATTCTTTTTAGATGTCATTGTTTGTAGAACGTGGTATGCTGTTGATGTGCCCAAATTTTATTGTCCAATTACAAATCTTGTTTTGCCAAAAGAGAAAAAGGATTTGTGGAATGGCGTTAAAACTCTGAGGGAATTAAAAGTAGAAAGAAATATCAAGGAACAACCATCATCCGATAGCTTGTACACCGTGAGTACAGTGGTTTCATAATTTGAATGAATGTTTCAAAGTTAATATATACGTATCTATTTTTTAGGCTATAACAAAAGATTCGAAGGTTTTTAAACCATTAATAATTCCTAAAAAATTACAAGTTGCTTTACCTTACAAGGATAAGCCTAAAAACTGTATTTTATCGAAAAATAACGATAAAAGAATCGAAAGGGTTACCGTCGTTAGAGAAAAAGAAGAAAGAAAGGTTTGTGTGTTTTAATTATGTGCAATTTTATTATTAAACAATATATGCGTAAATTAAAATATAAACCACCTTTTTTAGATTATGGAAATGTTAAAAATGTTAAAAACCACATACGATTATAAACAAGAACAACAAGCAGTAGCAACCAAAAAAAGAATACAAAAGCAGCAAAAAGAAAAGGAAATGGAAGAAATAAAAAAAAAAGCAAAAGTTCAGTCGCAGAAAAAAAACTTTATGCGTTTAAAAAGTAATGCAAATCAACATTAAAACTTTCAATATGCGTAAATGTAGCTTTATTATGCCTTCATAAAGAAATATGAAAAGTATAAAAATGCTTTAAAAAAAGGGCACGAAAATAATAATATACAAATTAATATTTGAAATTTGGTAAGAGTAGCAATAAATACTTCGTCGGTTAAAATATGAATAAAGAGGAATTTTCATGTTTTGCGTTTTGTATGGGCAGGAAGTATGCATGCATTGTAAGGAAAGTAGTTGCATTTGTTAACTTGTTATCGGAAAAGCAATTGTTTTGAATATAATACCTTCTTCCGAAGATGACCTTGTAGGTTGAAACGAATTTGTCAAGATAGATAATTGTCTTGAATTTAAAAAAGTAAATGCCAGGCAGGTTTCTCACATTTTGAAACCTATAAACGAGATGGTCACCATACGAGATGACACGACTTTTTCAACGATTTCCAAAGGGCGGAGATAAGTTCCCCGAAGTCTGTATTAATCTGTAATGAAAAAGGTAAATACTATTTTATTCCTGAATCAAAACGGACAAATATGGAGTAGCGTCACCCTCGGTCATCTCCCCGAAAAGCGTAAATGTGAAGTCGGCCAATCGATCCAAATAGAGAATCGCACAATCGCCTGTTTCTTTTGTTCAAGACAATTTTTGTTACCACTTTAACGCTAGAAAAATTTAGTAAGCTTAAGTCGGATGTACTACCGCAGTCTCCGTTTAGTCCCAATTTAGTGCCATCGGACTTTCATCTGTTTGGTCCACTTGAACAATTTTTAGGAGGAAAGTTGTTATTGAAGCTATATAAGAGTGGAATTAACATGCAAACAATAATTTTTCGTTTCCGGAATAAAAAAACTCCCAATAATAGCAGGGGACCACTTTGAAAAACAGTACAAATTTATTAAATACCTATAATAATAAGAGCAAAATAGCGATTTTTATTTACATATCGCTTTTTTTACAGATAAGTAATTAATACCAGAAGTTTTCTTCAGAACATTCAATAGTTTAAAATAATTTTTAAAATACAAAGTAAGACAACATCAGAGCATCAATTTAGTTGAGTCAACAAACCCAATCGTATATACCTATTGATTTAATCATGTTTGAAGTAATCGATGCATCTTTAAAGTATGAACGACGAATGTACGTCCTCAGTTCACTACTAACAACCCATTTTTGTAAACGGCTTGACGGGTTGTTATTTGGCAATTAGTATGTATCCAGCAATACTGCACTGCTATGTTTGTTGCCTAAACAAACCTCTCCAGGAGTTTGACTATATAAGGCATGTAGCGATCATTTTTGTACTGGAAGTAGTGTTGCCATCTATTATCTATGGTTGCCATCTTTCGTTAATAGAAAACCAGACTGGGAATGATTTTTGAGGTCACACATTTCACCAAAAGTAGCCTATAACCTTTAACATGAAAATGTCAAAATTAATAGACAAAATCCAACAAAATAAATAGTAATTTATTATTTATTTTCAGTTTTTTAATTTAAACATCTTAAAAAAATATTCAGATAACATGTTAAGTCAAACTCTTTATTTTTATGACTTGGCAGCACTGGGACCCTAGACTAGGTAAATAGATGTAAAACTCTCGAGATTTGGACGATAGTAGTGACATCTAAGTTTACCCAACATTAGTAGACGATACTTGGAATATATATATAAATGGTATTGGCAAAGAAAACTTCGAATTTCACTGCCATCTATATATCAAACTATGAAGCGTAACCAAAGGCGCGCATTTCAAAATTACACTAAATTTTATTTTTTTTTGTTTTAAATGGAAATTGAAAAAAAAAA